ATTATGAGACTGAGGTGCATGAAGATAAATTACGGTATCAGTTAAATTTCAAGCAGGTCAGTTCTTTAAAATTCTACTCTTCGAAATTGCTCAAGATACGGAATTATTTTAGAGGATGATGCAGAATTGAGCAAAAATTCTTCAATTTTTGAAAATTTGCAAAATATGGCTCTGATTTTTTAAACAAAAAAAAATTAAATTGTCCAGCAGAAAATTCTTGAATTACAATATCTATTAAGAATGAAGTTGTGCCAGTTCATTTTAACTCGTTTTTTCCTTCTTTTCATTTTGTGCTGCAACAGTTGCACAAAACACATATTGTCAAAATCCTGTCTTTGTGTTCATGTTTATGTTCTGAATACGTTTTGTCCGGGGTTTTCAACTAGTGAACCGGAGAAGTTAGGAAACTAAAATTTTAGGGGAAAATTCTAAGGTCCTGTATGATTCTCAAAATTCTTTGATCTTTTTGGATGAGACGACCTTCACTTGTAACATTTTAGCCTTTAATTTGAGGTGTTCTATAATCCACGATTGAGTACAGAACACAAAAGGATTGTGAAGAAGATCGGCAAGCGTTCGATTCTGTATGATTGCTGCGCCGGTATTGGGCCATTTGTGTTACCAGCAGTAAGAAATGGAGCTCATCATGTTCTGGCGAATGATTTGAATCCAGATTGTATTGAATACATGAAACGAAATCTGAAATTGAATCGTGTAAGTGTTGTAGAAATTTTTAAGATACATACAGTGAATATCCCTGGCTAGAAGACTGGAAGAAGACAGAGGCCTGAAATAGAACTTGAATGAAATTGAATCATGTAAGTTTATTTGTTGGAGAATTTTTTAGGGCTGTTGATTATGTCATTGGAATAACTGGTCTCATTCATTTTGATGATGATCAGTTGATACTGGCATATGGCAGAGAGTCAGGCCTCTCTGAAATAACTCTTATTTAACTATCGAACAAGCTGTCAGCGGCTTACCACATTGGTAGTGATAGAGAGAACATAATTTCGCGGTTTCCAGCTGAAATTTTTTATGTTTGATGTGAAACAAGAAGCACTCAAGCACTTGCTTATAAAGAGAACATGGGCAAAAGGAAAGTAGTTTGAGTTTGTAATTTTGGGATATAAGCTCGAAAAGATTGTCCTGGGATGTTTCTTCAAACAGATAATGTAAAATATTAGAAGCAAGGTAAGAGATCGATCTGAATATCATATGTACCGATGAGCGCATTGAAGGCATTTCTGTTTCATCCCTTAACTGTTATTTTCTTTTTTTTTTTTGCTTTTTTTACAAATTTTGGTACAAAATGAATTTTAATATCACTCATCCTGCACTCCAATAACATACAAAATTTATAACATAATAGTGTGGGGTCGCACTGCTGTTACTGCAGTAGGTACGAGATTAACTCTGCCGATGAGACAACCAATCCCTCTACGGTTCGTTTCGATGATAAATTGCTACCAGAACGTATCAGGGAGTAAAACTGGCCATCAGCTTGTTTGTAAGCAACCCTGAGAAAAGAGTTCCACTGGCCGTCTTGCCAGTAAGTGATTGTTGTTGGCATTTGCTACCGCTCGAGCTGCTTCTGGAGTGCCTGCACCTCTCACTGACTGCGAAATGCAGAGGGATTTTAAGCTTGGTTGCACTGTAGTTGTTATAAACGAAACTGTGTATGTGTGGATATGTAGTGACAGTTGGAAAACAGTGCTTTTGAGGTTTGCTTATGGAAGTTTATGTTTTCATTGAGTAAGATTGCTTTTCCATTCGAATTTTTTGCAGTTGTCAACCGAACGTTTAAAAATGTACAATATGGATGCAGCGCTGTTCATATCAACTGCACTTGCCGATGATCTGGCTAATGAATTTAAAAATTTTAAAACCACTGCTTCGGGATATAATGGTTAGTTACAGAATGGTTTAGGGAGCTGGTAGGGTTTTATATTTCTTAAGTTTGGTGTCCAGACAAACATATTTCAAATGCATGGAACATCTATTGACTCATAGTCTGGGTTTCCAGCTCTGCATTTTGCAACTTTTCCAGTTGCTTTGACCAGTGCTGCATTGTCTTGGTGAGTCCAGTGGCGATCCTAACAGTCGTTTCATCTCTTGGAGGAACGCGAGCTGAACGATTTCTTGGCAAAAGTACCGGACAGACTCAAAAGAAAAACTTATTGGAAAAAATATTTTGTCAACTGAAGTGAACGTAAAGATTGCCAACAGCCCTGTACTGGCAGTTAACAGTGCAGACAGATTACCACTCAAACAGCTGAATAGGCATCTACCTTTAAAAAATTTCAGTACTACCGCTATGGAATGTAATAATTAATGGTAGCACCAAGCTTACCCGGGGGCTGGTTTTGAGCCCACTAATACCCGGTTGGGCGAAGAATACCACTCCAAGATTTCAGCCTTCTAGCTTCTCAGATCCCCGAGTTATGAACTTACCCGAAAAAAATTTGGCGGGCTCGGACGCGGGTACCACGCTTACGTTGTTGATTGTTGCGGTGAGTACCAAGATACTGAGGGGCTCCCAGACATAAGCGGCGATGACATAGGTTTGCCCGTGCCAGCTGGAGCTTGCTGGAATATAATGGGGACACCCAGATGGACGCCTGGTTAATTACTTGGGCATCCATGTTTCTGTTTGGCGCCTGGATAGATGCATTTTGTCTATTAAGTCGTAGTCAGAGCAAAGACTCAAAATCACCACTGCACTCAGTCAACTTTACGAAAAAGCGGAAGCACTCGGTAATAGCAAATACAAACATCCATTCGTCAGTGTAGCTGTCGATGACTTCCTCTTTAGAGGGTTTC